TTCCAACTGTACACGATGTTTCCAACTGTAACACGATGTTTCCAACTGTAACACGATGTTTCCAACTGTAACACGATGTTTCCAACTGTAACACGATGTTTTCAACTGCACACGATGTTTCCAACTGTAACACGATGTTTCCAACTGTAACACGATGTTTTCAACTGTAACACGATGTTTCCAACTGTACACGATGTTTCCAACTGTAACACGATGTTTCCAACTGTATTCATAGCAAAGATGACGATGGTTTTCTCTTTACTAGATGAACAAAAATTATAATTGAATATTACGCTTCAAATTGCAGTAAAACACAGCAACAAATTTACGTGATGTTCGTTCATACAATTTTATTTACTTTAAACATTACTTGTGAGCTGTAAAATTAAGCTAATCTCAATTATTAACTATCTTACAGCAATTAACATCACCAAACGTTTGTCATCACATACTGAATTAATTATACCCATCTTTTGAGAACATTTAAAACATAAAACATTAGGAATGTTTAACTTCTTGAATGAGGTTGATCAGGTAGGACAATAATAAACACATCACTTAAGAAGATATTTCGGTTTCACTTAAAAAATAACGAAAGAAAAAAATTTTTTTTTCCTGAAAACTTTAATATGTATTTTATCTTTATCACAAATTTCAAAATTTATAAGTAAAACTTCTCTGACAGACGTTTCGACGCGGGAAAATTAATATTGGAACACTTGTAAACAGGCTTGCTTATACCATTCTAGAACATATTTTAATTTACAAACTTTCGAACCCTCTTCCTAGGACTAACTGAATATAATTAGGAACAGTAAATAATTTCCAGGTAACCCAGAATAATGTTTCTACTTAACAACAACAACTGCCAAAGTATACAACCACACTCATGCTGAAAAACTGTGGGCTCGGGTTTTCGATTGAAGCGATTCAAATGTCATATTGTCGTGCAAAAAACAGTGTTATTTTATAATTATATAAAGTTGGGAAACTACCATTTTACGATTTGTAAACAATATGAATAATACGAACATGAATTTAAACACAGTACTAACAATGGCAACATGAATTTAAACACAGTACTAACAATGGCCAACATGAATTTAAACACAGTACTAGCAATGCCAACATGAATTTAAACACAGTACTAACAATGGCAACATGAATTTAAACACAGTACTAACGTCATCATCATGTTACATGATCTGTGAACACCATATTAACAGTGTTGTTACATGATCTGTGAACACCATATTAACAGTGCTGTTACATGATCTGTGAACACCATATTAATAGTGCTGTTACATGATCTGTGAACACCATATTAATAGTGCTGTTACATGATCTGTGAACACCATATTAACAGTGCTGTTACATGATCTATAAACACCATATTAATAGTGCTGTTACATGATCTGTGAACACCATATTAACAGTGTTGTTGTATGGTTTGAAAGCCATCGTGGACTAATTATAAAAAAGTGACACAAGTTTATATTTTCACATCCCTTGCTTAGAGTGGTGTGTCAGACACATGTATCAGCTTTGTTTGTATAGTGTTTACAAATCATGTAACAACAATGTGAATATTGTGTTCACAAATCACATAGCAGCACTGTAAGTATTGTGATTACGAATCATTTGGTATTGTTAGTATCGTGTTTAAACTCATGTTGGTATTGTTAGTATCGTGTTTAAACTCATGTTGGTATTGTTAGTATCGTGTTTAAACTCATGTTGGTATTGTTAGTATCGTGTTTAAACTCATGATGGTATTGTTAGTATCGTGTTTAAACTCATGTGGTATTGTTAGTATCGTGTTTAAACTCATGTGGTATTGTTAGTATCGTGTTTAAACTCATGTTGGTATTGTTAGTATCGTGTTTAAACTCATGTTGGTATTGTTAGTATCGTGTTTAAACTCATGATGGTATTGTTAGTATCGTGTTTAAATTCATGTTGGCATTGCTAGTACTGTGTTTAAATTCATGTTGGCATTACAACGTTTCGACAAGGTTTTCATGACAGCAAATGTCTTTAATATAAGTTTAATTTTTCTTCATTACCCATTTAAGCCGTCTCCAGCCATTATTACACCACGTAGTAATCAGGTTTTCCTTTTAACATCGGAGTATTGGCACTTTGCCAGTTTCTACCTTAAAGTTGATCAATAACAAAATGACCATTTACGACACTGTTTGTTTACTGTGTCCAAGGAGATTAATGCAACAATTTAGTTCCTGGTACAAACTTCTAGCTCATAGTTTGGCCGATTTGAGATTTAATTACCCAGGATTAATGTAATAATTTTGTTCCTGGTCAATTTGAATTAATTATACAGTTTAAAAAACCCCTAAATAAGAAAGGAAACTAGATTAAATGTTGAAGCTGGCCGATTTCTTTGGTTATGTTTGTTTGTTTTAAATTTCGCGCAAAGCTACACGAGGGCTATCATACGCTAGCCGTCTCTAATTTAGCAGTGTAAGACCGACAACTCGAATAGTGGGATTGACTGTCACATTATAACACCCCCACGGCTGAAAGGGGATTCGAACCCGCGACCCTCAGATTGTGAGTCGAGCGCCCTAACCACTTGGCCATGCCGGACCCTTTGGTTATGAATGGAAAACGCTATAGTAACGTGAGTATTTTGCCATTCGTTATTTTAATCAACTTGATTGCTTGGGTGTTGCAACAGGATTTGATTACAACGATATATTATCCTTCGTTAAATATAATCCGCAAAATATGTTTCTAAAGTGTTCCAAATATGTTTGTTTGTTTTAGGTTAAGCACAAAGCTACACAATGGGCTATCTGTGCTCTGCCCACCACGGGTATCGAAACCCGAATTCTAGCGTTGTACCCAAATATGTTAAAATAATGGAAGGATTGAATATTCGCGTGGACGAATAAAAATGAAAAAGAAAAGAAGAAGCTCACTCACTGTGTATGTCTGACATTATTTCAAATACAACATGTGTTAGAAGTTGTTTGTTAATTGCGCTAGTAATGATAAAGAATTTCACGCATGGAATGTAGTGCGAGTGAAGTGTTAGGACAGAGGGAGTCATGTGACGCTGGGAGCATGCGTGGCTGAGTTTCTCGAATTATCGGGGAAGCCCGAGTGTGTTCGAGAGACGCCTGTTTGTTAGTATATAAGCCTGGCAGAGAAAAGCCGAGGATAGTTAAGAGAACAGTAGTTACGGTTTTTCGGGTAATTTACGATTCTGTTTCGAACTTGTGTGTGTTTTGCACTCGTAGAGAGCGAAGTTATCG